GCAGCTTCTCGCATTCAGTTAATTAACTCGTAACTATCTGTTAATGACAAAAAACATCATTGCCGCTGTGCCTTTTCTTCAAAAAATTGTAGAAGTGACCTTTTTTGACATTAAAAATTTTCGTAATTTGAAGCAAAGATCGTAATTTGTCTTTTTGAATGCTTAAACATTCCAATATGCTACCAATTAAACATGGAACCATTTCAAAATAATGCTTAGTAACAAAGTTGAAATTCGATCTTCAACTGTTAACATCTTCTAGAAATTAAAAAAAAAAAAATTTTCTATATTTTTTTCTTACTCCCCAAGGGAGCCTCTATCACCCCTTAAAAGGAATGACGCCAGTTTTGAATCACCCTGTAAAAAGAACCTTGGACAAAGTGTAATGCCGGGAAAGCAAGCAAAATAAAGATATTAGCTTTGATTCTAAAAAACAAAAAGATACCCCAGCACTTGCAAACCAAAGTATTTGACCAGTGTCTTCTCCCTGTCATAACATATGGAGCTCAAACCTGGACCCTCATAAAATAAATAATAACAAAAGGGAGAATACACTGGTCAAATACGTTGGAATATACTTGGATATCATATACGTTGGATATCATATACGTTGGAACGCTAGGGTGATTAAGTGGAGATCATGGGAAGGAAAAACAATAGAGGTCGACCAATAACTCGATGGTATAACGATATCAAGAGATCAGCAGGACTACCATGGATAAGAATCGCACAGGATAGGAATAGATAGAGAAGGTTAAGGAAAGCATATGCTCAATACTGGGCGCAAACGGGCTAAAAAAGAACAAGAAGAAAGTCTTCTTGTCTGTTTTCCGGTCTCATTTTTCTATTTTTTAATAATTTCTGAGTGAAAACCTACTGGAATTCAGTGAAAACTTTTTAGAAACTATAAGAATTGTTATAGTCTATATGTAGTGGACCCTTCTTACCAATTGCATATAACTGTAATACCTTTGCACTGTTGCTTGGACGCAATATTCCTCATAATCAATCATTTTCAGCAAAGAATCTCCGACAAGGTACTCAGAGCACAACTGCCGCTGGTCTGTTCGCAAATAGCGGCAATCATTCAGGAACATAATGATGTTGGTATATGTTAACCAAATTCTGCGGATACATTAGTATTAATTGAGCAAAGAACTGTTTGTACCGCTTACGCTGCATCCATTCGGCTAAGGTTCCGTTGAAATACGACGAGATATTTAACCATCTTCTTAAATTCTAAGACATTCCATGAATTCAGAGTTGCATTATTTGTCAGTTTTCGTAGCAGATTTAGAAGTTTTGTATCAACGGATTGTTGAACCTCTGTGGTCACATAGTAGTCCGTGATGTTTTGGAAATTTTGAAAGTTCATCTGCAATATACAAAATATACGATGTCAGTCCACTAGTGTTACTTTGATCTCATATCAGAGTGAAGGTAGGAAAATATATTTCTAATATGTTTAATTTGGTTATTTGAGTAGATGAGAAAGATCGACATTACGGGGTTAAAGTAACCTGAGAGCATACATATAGATCAGAAGGCGTGGCCACTATTAACTCGTGCTCGGGGCGCAATAGCTTTCTAACGCTCCCCACTTCCCATTCGAAAACCATATAATATATGTAAAATATATATCGTTGACCGTAGATATGTCAAAATTCTATATATATCACATATTTCGATAAACAGTTCTATCGCATTGAAATCTGTATTATAAAATTCGTTACCAACATTCTCTTTGTTTAATAAATTTTCAACGTTTAGTAGAAATCCAAATTTGAAATAAAGGTCACATAATAATATATAAGGAGAGAAATTTCACTTTTTGCGGAAAGACCAACATCTTTAGGCAATTATCCGGGCATTTTGCGGCGTCTTCTTACACATATTGTTCTATCAATATCCGATTTTTGATAAAAAGACTTCGATTTTTCTGTTGCCTCTTCAAAGAGCTTGTCTCGAATTTAGACTAGTTCAGTCGCTAATGATTCAAGATTATGGAACGCTCTAAAATTAATTCTAGGAAACATTCATTCTTGTAATCTGAGCTGCACACAAACAATCCTGCGTAAGATAATTAACTAAAGAAACTGAAAGTTAATATATTCTGCTACGGAATTGTGGCTCTTATTCTGGTGTCCCTTGCAGATGTTTTCAATTATTCCAAAACATGTCACAACGATTAGATCTTGTTTAGCTGCTGGAACTCCTACTAAATTATTCTTCTTCTTATTCTTTGTAAATACCCTTTGGTCTGTTTATTTCGTCTGGTCAATGTTGTTGATTCTCCTGTGATATGGATGTCCAACTATCCTTCCATCTTTTCGGTGGCCTTCCGATGGGTTTTTTACCAGCAGGATTTCCATTCGACACAATGTTTTTCCCGCTATTGTGCAGTTCTTAACATACCTTTTGTGTTGTTTGTTGTTGTTTGTTAACGTTTTTTCATTATTCTTTGTTGAACGCCAGACGTGTTACCTGAAATCACATCTGATCATCTGCAGTTTCAGTGTTTTCGATTAAGGATGCATCTTTAGCATCTATTTCAATAAAGCTCGCTTACAGTTTCATTGAGACTATTAGTGTTCCTTTTCTCCCTTTTCATTTATGAATTTACATTTATTATATTACACTGGCACTTATTTTAAAATATATTTTCCAGAAATCAGATATAACAAAAATAAAAATTATCCAGAAATTTTTAATGTTGCGGTCCATTTGGGGCTTCTTGCGAGTAGCCCCCCGTCGCTACGCCCCTGAAGTACAAACATATGCTTTCGCAAACATTGAGGTGTACAGAAAGAATTAAATTAGATATATGTGTGAAAAATATCGACTGTTTTTTTTTGAGAAAATATTAATACTTTCATTATATACATGGTGTAGCAAATTCGAGATGTGAGGATTATGATGTCGAATAGTACGAGATGCAAAGTCGGTTAAATTAGGGCGCATTTTAATACTTCACAAATTGGGTGCATAAAACCCGAGACTTCTTAAAAAAAATAACTTGTATGATTGTTTTGGCGGATAGCTGAGCGTGCCGCCGTTGACGCGACTGCAACGGGTTTTTGATGCAAAGTTGTTCTTCGTATGATGGAATTGTCGATCGCCAAATAGTTTGGGTCCCCACGGCATCGCCCGACAACTTTAAAATGCTGGTGCGTCAAATGCTCAACCGATCTGTCGTGCAAACGATCGGTATGCACAACAAGATATTGAAATATATGTTGGTTTTCTTGAAGATGCACCAATTTATTGTGAGAACAATATACCATCCAAGTGTAAAAGCCATGACCGCACAGATGACCGGCAATAAGCGGGTCACTCGCCAGGTAAATTGGCAAATAGTGCGTGCTGCGTAGTGTAATGCCGGTATAAAATAGTCAGTTTAGATTTATCAATGCTTATTTCATTTATATCTATTGTAACACTGTATGGGCTTCTCCAGGTCCAAGTTGTCTGCATTTTGGAGATCTTCTTATGTTTTTTGCACTAAGCAAAGCCGTCGGTAACGATTTAAAATGTTGTATTTTGCATCCTTACGACCTGCGTAATTGAGTATTCTTTGGTGGACATTGAAACCTCTTTGTACAAGTGTAATGATAATAATTAAGTACACTATTATTCGATAGCGTAAGTCGTCGTATAGAGTAGTTTATATTAACTTTTAATGTATTATAGGTGAATGAGTTAAGAATGGAGCTTTAACATCAACACTTTCTGCACCTTTCCACAAAACCACGAAAAATATACTATATAGTACTAAAATGTTTCATTAGGGATACGTACTTCTTCCAAGCTTTTGACAAACATTGGGACACTCTTATAAAGAGGTACTGATTCCAGTCCGGGCCGTTGCTCCAAACTTAAATTCGAAACACTACCCATTAGGGGTTTAATGTTCATCCAGACACTTGCATACCGGTTGAAGACCTGTGACGGTTCAACCTGTAAACCGAGACGGCTTAAAATATGATTAAATAGAGTCATTCGGCTACCTTAAATTTTATTTCTCCGTTTTCCGACGTAACGGTGGTTAAATTGACAAAAACGAACGGATAGAATCCGTTTTCAATCGCATTCAAAGTGATCACATCCCAGTTACCCTTTCGAGTGCCCGCAGCCTCCCATCCTACGGAAAATGTACGTCTTATAATTTTATTTTAAGACTGTTCTGTTAACTTACCCGTTACAGGGTCAGCCATTTGCCAATACTTGGGAGGACTCTTTTCCTTCTCAATACCGGTGGGATTCCTCTCATGAACGACTCTACAAGCTTTGTAAAACTGAAAATGCCATAACATTTTATCTTTGAAATGAAACACTTTAAATAGATTTATTTTCGAAACCGATCTAGSAGAAGTGTGGTATATTATTTTATTTCCAGTGCAGTAATTGGACAATACATACCACCAAAAACATGAAGCAAAATGAGCAACAGATCAAACCATACAATCATCACAAAAAAAATCATGTATAATAGGTTGTAGGTACTTATTTGTTACGGAATGTAATATCATATCSGATAAACAATTTAGTTTTATTAAAAATAGAGGAACAACAGGTGCGTTGAATTATATCATATCATACATTTTATATAAAAAAATTGATAAATCGAAACCAATTATAACTGCTTTMTTAGATTTAACAAAAACGTTTGACACGGTAGACTACAGAAACTTCTAGAAATACTAGAGAGATATGGAATAAGAAGCAGTGCCTTAAATATAATCAATAGATTTATCTGAGGCATGAAACAAGGCGTTAAATTACAGAATCTGAGAAGTGAATATAAAGAAACATACATTCCTGATGAGACCGTTGCCATTGCAAGTGATAATACGTGGGCCTTAGCTCAAGATAAAATGAACRGATATCTTAGTGAAGTCGCAAAGTGGTTTGCTGCTAATAAATTATTTTTAAATGTTAATAAAACAGTATATATTACATCTGGCAACTGTTGTGTGTTCCTGTCTCGCTGCATATCGAGATAATATA